TTTACCAAAAACACTCAATCAAAATTCTGCTTGAAAAATAGGAATCTTCTTCCTTTCATCGGAGAAATTTGTGCTTCGGCTGATGTTCATGTATCTTTCAAAACTTACTTATCTCTTAAAAATAGCAACTGACACACTGTTTCTAGTTAACAAATCAATTGTAAAGATTGCGATATCAAATACATTCGAGAGTTAAGAAAGAGGGTGTTGGTATAAGTAATAATTAGGTAACATGAACTTATCATAAAATAATTAAACAATAATAAAATCCGCTCTTAATGAGCTATCTCATTAGCGGTTATCATTAACTGGGAAACGTTGAAGAAGATTGTGTTTTTTTGGAAGTATGCCATATTGATTCCTCCTCTTGTTCATACTTTGTTTGTTTTGATGTTTGCGCAAGGGCTATCTGCGATACCCTTACTTAATTTTGAACTGATAGACTAGAAGAAATTCAGCTAGTCAACAGCACCCACCGCTAACTCTTGAGCTACTCAAACCTAATAGTGGGATTTGACTGTCAGTCTTAAAATACATCCACGGCACCAAAGTATGGAGCGCAAATCATGTTTCCTTGGATGTACAGTCCGTCACGGTAAGCACTTTACCACGCCCCATACCTTGTTAATAAAGACGTAGGACAATAATCTCCTCGCTCAGAATTATGAGCCTTTGTTTGCTATTAAAGACAAACCAAGAGATGGCGCTATACAGGTATTAAAAAGTGGAAGAGACCTAGAGAAGCTAAGTTTTGACTTCCGTTGGCAGTCGAAGCATTGAGCTTCCTCGTTCTATTTTTTTCAGCTAGTAAGTTTTTGAGTAAGTTTGTTTTAACAGATTAATTATTTCAGATGAAAGCTTATAACAAATACCAAAAAAAAAGATTATTTCAAACAAGCGAGCGATTCGGGGATTAAATTTTAACAAAACTATGACGAAAGTTTCGAGCCTATTATCTTTACTTACAGCTTCTTATTATAGTGCTTTGATAATTGTACAACCTCGGCTATTTTGTTTACCCAAACATTCGAATATTGAAATACCTCCCAGTGGCACAGCAGTATGTCTGCGTACTTAGAACGCTAGAAACCAGGTTTCGATACCCGTAGTGTGCAGAGTACAGATAGCCCATTGTGTTGCTTTGTACTTAGCATCAAACAAACAAACAAAAATCGAATATTCACACGTAAGTACGTTTTCTATAAGTCTAATAAATATCCTGGTTCTCTAGTTCTCTGATATCAGGTGACCAGCCCACGTGATTTATCAGGTGGATCGTTATCATGACTATAAGAAGCTTGAGAGAAATATAACCTACATATTACAACTGATTCTTTCTCTATCTAAGCATTTCCAACTATTGTTTTTGGTGTCTCATTGGCACCTGCATCAGTTTGAACACAAGGTAATGGTCCCACAGCTGGCTGGACTGTGCACGTGCGCATGACATATATATCGGTAGACTGCTTGGCGCCAGTTGAACAAACATACCTGAACTTCTATGGTTGAGAAAAGACTTTTAAGGTTAGTCCCGAAACTCTTCGACAACCAATCAACAGAGGTGCTCATAACCGGAGGAGACTGCTCCTCTTTCCATTCCTTAATTTCTAACACTAGAAATTTGTTGACATAATCCTAACTTTGTAAAGTATTTCTTTATATTTATATGGAAAATATATATACATTATAGACATTATAGCTTGTACAAACATAGTTGTTATTACATTCTTACAAAAGTTCAATAAAAATCGAAACAAAATAAATGTTATTACAACTGCGAATTTCGAGCTAATTTTCAAATTGTTGAATCGCAAAAATGTACCTATTTAAACTAACCTAATGTCTGCGTTAAGTACGTACCAGCTCTGTAGACTTTACAAACTAGTTATTGTTTCTTTGAAGTTAAGCACAAAGCTACACAATGGGCTACCTATGCTCTGCCCACCACTGGTGTCGAATCCCGGTGATGTAATTCCGCAGATATACCAAACGTATTTTTTTATATACCCCTGAGTTTTGTTTAAACGAACACGTGTCTTACTGGTAAGTGATAAATTCTGATTATCAATTAGACGTTTAATTTGAAAACAACAACTTGAATGCCATACGATAACAAATATTGTAGTATTTTTCATTTTATTACTGAAGACTTTGACTATGTTAAAGTATATCTTCTTGGTATCAAATAGCGAGATAAAAATACACTGAAAAGCTTGTAAAAAAAAAACACTCGATGTTCGTGACCAAAGCAAATAGATAGAAACTATGAAATGTTAGAGCTCTAATTATCCTTATGTATTCGGTTATATGCAGGCCCGTACGCAGAATGTTTGAAGGTTTTTTTTGTTAATTTGTTTGTTTGAAGTTAAGCACAAAGCTACACAATCGGCTATTTGTGTTCTGCACACCATGAGTATCGAAATCCGGTTTCTAGCGTTTTCAGTCCGTAGACATACCGCTGTGCCACTGGGGGGGAGAGTGTTTTTAATTTGTGCGAAGCATAATCATCATGCAAAGCATGCTAATGTTACGGGGGTCTGGGGATATGCCCCCAGAATATTTTTAAAAACATAGGTGCTATGAGATTAAATCTCGAAGCAATTTTGCGTGAAATATAGCTTAAACCATCGCATGCTAATGTTACGGGGGTCTGGGGATATGCCCCAGAATATTTTTTTTTTAAATATGTACTATGAGATTAAATCTGGAAGCAATTTTGCATGAAATATAGCTTAAAAAATCGCATGGCTGGTCACATAAAATCCACAAACATCCAATGAAACATCAACAAATCATCATTCTGTTGTAACACTCCATGGGGAGCTAGACTTAAATCAGCATAAATATGTATGTTTTATTATAGTAAAGTACTGTACTATCTACATGCAGAGTAGTTATTAATTGTTCAAATATATTACTAATTTAAACAACCCTGTACAATAATAGTATATTAGCCATTTCAATCATTGGCTATCATATACGCACATTATGCACTGGGGTGCTTTTCCATAAATAACTTACATACAATTCTATTATTTATATGCACACTTTAGAAACCCCATTCTTTTTTCAATATCGTCAAGTCCCAAACTGATTGTTATATATGTGTACGTTCCAAATACTATGTCACTATGGAGAAGTGTCATGATATATGGTATACAGAGGTTAAGGTTGTCACGTCCGGTCATGCTCTATCTGACAACCGCGCTTCTTGACAATAGCTCTGCAACGTAGTTTCCATTGCAAAAGGAAGGCTTTCAATACCAATTTAGTGTACGAAGGCAACGGTTTTTCATCACTTGTTTCAACAGTTCGATTACACAGAAGTCCAGCGATTTGATGGGTATGTCTTCGTATGAATACTCGTTTTATTCTCCATCTGCTTGAGGTGTGACGACTGAAGTGATATGTCATGAAGTCAACTTGTGTTACTTTTCTAGGCGAAGATCCTTTTTGATTATGTTGCTTATTGTTGTCTGGGACCTTTGTGTTCGTGAGTTCTGGTCTGTTAGGAAACGACGCACTTTGCTTACCACAGATAGTGTACAATTTGTTGTGAGTCTCTTTCTACATGTTCCTGGTACCCCAAGTTGATCCACATTCCTTTGTTTTCCAATACCACCAAGTACAAGGAATATTCCCTTTTTGGAAATTCTAAAAATTCAATTTAAATACGCATTTATGATTTGAGTGTATGAACATTTTGCGTCGGAAAGACTGTTACGTACATTACCAGAAGTAAACAATTTTCGGTAACATCACACTATCTACACAACGCCAAATAATGTAGTTCTAATAAATGCTCTTCCACCGCGACTTTATATCGGCTGTGGCTGTCACGTGACTTGCTGAATAGCATATTCAAAATCGTTTTAATATAACGTATTCAACATGTGTACTAGAAGAAAATAGTCGTGCTCGAACTGTGTGGGATTAAGCAATAGTCTAGTTAAAACTCCCATTCCATTTTCTTGTTTTTGTTCGTTTTGCCGGGATTCCCGTGATGTTAGTATCACTTATTTTTGTCCGTGTTCCTTTAAAGTGTTATTATTACCTAGATTTATAATATGCTGAGATTTTTATGTAATTTATGTTTCACTGAGTTATAACACTAGTCACCCGGTAGATCAGCGGTAAGTTTACGGACTTATAATGTTAAAATTCAATGTTCGATTCTCACGGTAGACAAGAGTGCAGCTAGCTCATTAGATAGCTTTGCGCTTAAACAACACCAATGCAACATTATAATATACTAATAACTAGTGACACAGATTTAACTGATATATACTTAAAAAATTGTTGTTGTTGTTGTTTGTCTGAAGTTTTTTCTTGTCTTTTTCCCTGTTAATTAAATCCGCAACTAACAGGTGGATTTTAGCTTTATTACGTTTATTAGTTTTGAGATTAATTAGCAAAAAAAAGTATTCTTTCTTTCTCTTATGTTACAAATGCTTGCAGGTGTAAGGAATCAGTACATTTAAATCGAACTTCTGCAATAAACCTACTTTGCACGTGTGGAAAGGATACTTAATCCGAGCACGTTATGCTATCATAAGGTTCGCTGGGGGGATTCCATTATCGCGTTAATCCCATATTGTGATGGGGTGGTAATTGTTACACATGTTATAGCACTTACAACTGACTTCTAGTTATCCCAGTCACTTCGATGTCATTACACGTCTCAACATAAAGAGAGACCAGTTATGCCCTGTGGAAATTTGTCACCATCACACGTGGTTAAGCTGTCCTGGTGACACGCTCCACCTGTCGTTGTTTCCCAAACCTGACACAATTCACAAGCTACTGTACGGACGACAGGATAAAAACTGAGCGAGCACCTGAGCGTTTCTTATCTGAATCTATGAGTTTGAGAAGAGCAGTGAGAGAATTTTATTTTTTTCCCCTGAAACAGCCTGAACTGCGCTTGGTCTAATCCGGCACATGTAACTCTTTAATAGTGAACACCAAACAAGCAAAGAGCCATGTTGTTTATCAGAATCATGACAGCCGCATGTCTTCTAGTTTTGTTTGTGATTACAGACGCACGGCCTTCAAAGCAGAGACGTCTCAGACAACACAGCCGACTACAGGTAAAATAACTTACCTTTTTCAATATTATCTAATATCCACTATATATTCAACACCTCTGTATTAGAATATGAAGTTATTCAAAACCTCTTGTTTCTTATCTTGCAACATTTGTAAGTTACGTGGGCTTTTGCTCTAAATAAACCAATAAATATAACATGATATATTAAGAACAGGGGCGGTCAGTGTTACTCGTACGTAAAGCTGCTACACGTGCATAAAAACTACCAAAGAAACAAAAATATTAATAGATTGATCTTTCCAATTCAATGGTTGACATTTTCGTGACTTTTGACGTTTACTAAAAACGCTGTTTCCTTTTTATTTTTTCAGTGCTGTTTAGCCTTTTATCTATTTATTTATGTATGAAGGTGAACAGTAGACTAAGAATTAAATCATGTGTGTCAGTTTATCAGTTTCAGGGTTTTAATCGTACAACTTCTGGCCTATAGATCTGTAGGATGTTGGTTCCATTAAATTTCGTCGTTGTCATTCAACGAGGGACTTGTTGATTTGACATTATCTATGCGATTATTGTTCTGATTTCAATGCCTTACATTTAAACAGCGATACACAAAACATTCGGACTTGGCCTGTGCCATGTTCAGTGTAAGTTCGTACCTATGCTCTACTAAAAACAAAAGTTTGAACAATGTTATTCATGTCAGAAATACTACTATAATTAGTACCTATTACAAACGTTCGTTAATAACTTGGTATAACAAGTACGACCCCCCCCCAGCGGAAAGTCTGAAGGCTTATAACATTAAAAACCGGGTTTCGATACATGTGGTGGGCAAAGCCCAGATAGCATATTGTGTAGATTTGTACTTAACAATAAACAAACAAAATATCGAATACGTGGCCTAAATCCATTAAACCTAATTTAATATTTCTCGCATTATAAACTAAAAATATTTTATTTCGATTTATATCATCGATAAAACTAGATGTACTTCCGCTAGGTCTCCGAAAGTGTTCTGTTTCAAGAGTAAACAAATCCAAAATTAAGAGTAACAAATATTTTTAATTCTTTCTTTTGAAGTTAATATGTCATGCTGTGTTGTATCCTACAGAGTGCACAGTTCTTCTCGTGATTCATGGCATGCGCACGTTTTACTGACGGCACGATAGTACAAATTACAACGTTAAGCGTCCCTTATGTGACGTCATTTAAGTGTCTGCTGACTGACTGTCAGACAGCACACTACTTTATAGTGGTGCGAGTGGTTAAAACAGGTGACCCCTTTCTCTTTGTCTTCACTTCTTCAACTCCATCCCTACACCAAACAATTCCCAATATTTTTTTAAAATCTACAAACTCCATTTTAATAAGGTCATTTTTAAAGCTCACCTTAAATGATGGATCACTGTCATCGAATGTAATATCTCACGAGCGTGGCGAAGTGGGATATCAATATCCTTGAACATCCCAGTTGAGGAAAGCTATTGTTTTCCTTTAAAACTAAATTACTGCCACGTTTAAAAAAAATGGTGACCCCTCCAGACAGCCTTTGGTTCCCTTTCCGGGAAATTACATAGTACCCACTGATTCAAGTTTCACGTATGTAACGGATAATACGCCGGAGTATTAAAGGTGTCGCTTTATTGAAGAGCACACTCTCTCTCTCTCTCGCTGCTTTTCCAGGCCAATTAATACAGCTTATGTTACTAGCACTATAGATTTTCTACATCAATTGTGTTCGTCAATGAGGAACTACATGGCCACTGTCGTCAATTCCGCAGGTGTCAACTGAGAGCACATGCACTCAACGCCTCCCTTTCCCACCTCCTGACCAGTCCTCTGCCTCATCGCGTTGTAAGTTGGGGTATGGTGAGAATAATATGATGTAACTTTGTAAAGACAGTTTCATTTGTAACTAGTTCAGCTGGAACAGTTATTTGTTTGTTTGTTTTAGAGCAAAGCCACATTGGACTATGCGTTGTAGCCACCGGATTTTAGCGTTGTAAGTCTGTAAACTTACCACAGTCACATTGGGAGACGGAACAGTTACATAGGATAGTTATGAGAGGATGAAAGAAAAAAGAAGGTTTTGGTTGTTCCGCTACACAAATTTTCATGTGCTACCACCTACTCGTGTTTTTTTCAGTCTTACTACTTGATATGAAAAAAAGTTACACTAAAAATTTTTAAAAATCAACAACAAAATTTAATTGGCAAAAAATACGTGTCCGAATATTTATCAGTATTTCGAATGTTCTGTTAGATAGCATGCTTCTAGTACACAGTTAATACAAGTGTGACTACTCGAGTGCACCAGTGTAAGAGCTAGGTGTGGCCATGAAGTTAACGCACCCGGACTGTGAATACAGGGATTCATGGGACACGATCCGTTGCCGCAAAAACGCGTTCCGTAATTTGGTGCCGTGGTTGTACTATAAATGATAATCAAACCCCACTCAAACAAGCGTTAGGAGTGAGGGCTGTTGACCAGCTGCTTTCCCTCTAGTCTATAAGTTAGAAATTAGGGACAGATATGCGCAGATATCCCTTACGTAGTTTTGCTCGAAAATTCTAAAACACACAATTAAGGTGGGTAACTTTTACATACAAACAGGCATGGTTCAAACAATATCTTGTGTTGTTTTGCGCTAAAATTTGAAACAAATAAACTAGCATTTGTTCAAGTGTCATATCACAATAAACACAATTTGAGGTAAGTTGGACGATGAAAGAAAATGTTAATGTAATTATGTAATAAATCTGCTTGTAAAATAACATGATAGATAAAGTTGGTTTTCCTAATCGCTATAATAAATCTGTAACAAGTAACTTCTTCCAAAAATCACTCGCTAATTATTTCACTTAGTTTGGAGTACATAAAAAAAGAAGCAGTACAGTATTATTTAGAGCATATTTTATTCGTATGTTTTAGCTGAAGAACAGCGAGATATCCGGAATAGCTGATAAAAATGGGCTGACATCAACGCCATCGTACGATGACATATATAGCCATTGGTCTGCTTGGTCACGTTGCTCCAGAAAATGTAAGCAGCAACGCATGCGCTTGTGCATCTCTCCTCTCCACTGTGAAGCTCGTATGTTGAAAGAAATAAAACCTTGTGCAGGACAACGAAGCAGGAAGAATCCGGCGGTAAACGTAGATTCGGAAAAAGTTTATCTGCAAACTGAAAAAGGAGCAACCCAGTTTCATGTTCTTTATCATCTTCAAAGTTTTGTGTACTCTGATTGGTCGGAATGGTCTCCTTGCACACGATCCTGCAAGACTCGTCGCTTCCGCGCCTGCGAACTGCCGGTAGTGTGCGGAACCAGTCTAATCTACGAAGATGTATTGTGCTATGTTAAAGGATCCCTCTGTGACAAATTCTACCACAGGAAAGAGAGACGTGACAAACAGAAAGAAACCAAAGAAGAAAAAATAGGTGAATTTCATTAGCTCAAAACGCTAAGTATATTAAAATTGATTGTCTTGGGTTCAAAAACTACGTTTTACTAATAAAGATAAATGTATAATTAGGTTTAGAAAAGGGAGTCAAACTCAACTAAAACTTTTTTATTCCAGCTTAATTTCAGCATTATGTTTCAGTAGTTTCTGATGGTTGTCTAATCACATTTGTTTTGTTTTTCCATCAGCAAATCTTAAGTAACGTATAATGAACAGCAAATCTTAAGTAACGTATAATGAACAGCAAATCTTAAGTAACGTATAATGAACATTTAAAACATTAAGTGTTTAAAACGAACTATTATCTTAATGCATTTTTCTAATTTAATAAGTTGTACCCCGGTGAGCCAATGGTTTGATTCCCCGCGATGGACAGAGCGCTGGTAGGCAGATGTGTAGCTTTGCGCTAAATACAAGCAAATAACAATTTGACAAATTCTGTAGGCAGATCATTGGAAGTGCACAAATATTACTCTAATTTCAGTTCGAAATATCATCATTCGTAGTGATAGGAACACCTAAGACATTAGTATTAGGCCTGTTACATTTTGAAAACCTGCACCTTTACTCTCGTCCCTTAGTATTTTTAAGAACTAGACAAATATATAATAATAGTATTCCAACAACATTGTACTTGTTATATCCATTGCCCAAGACGCGTTTTGCTCAATCCAGAGCTCTTCAGACCGGCTGGGATAGAACAAACACAGTAATGGTTGAAACAATATTTATATACGCCATTTGCTACAACAACAATTGCTATGGTGTGTTCGTCGTTTACAATCTGGAGAAAAATGATTACAATTAGACTTGTCATAAGATATTAGTATTAGGCCCATCACATTTTTAAACACTACATTCTTAATCTAGTCTCTTAGGGATTTTCAAAAATTAGAAGAGTGTATAATGATAGCATCCCAAGAACACTATATTTGTTATATCCATTGCCGACGACACGTTTCGCTCAATCCAGATGGATATGGCAAACATAATGTGCTTGGAATACTATTATTATACACTCTTCTGAGATTTGAAAATCCCAAAGAGACTAGATTAAGAATGTAGTGTTTAGATATGTAATAGGCCTAATACTAATATCTTATGTCAAATATAATTGTAATCATTCTTCTCCGGATTGTAAACGGCTTACACACCATAACAATTGGGACACCTAACTTGATCCTATTAAAATAGAAGTTAACTTTGACGTTAGATGTTAAGTGACATAAATTTTGTAGTGTTTAAACTTATAGAAAAATTTCTACTTTTTGCGTTCTTAGAGATTCAAAACAGAAAAGAGAATTTTACATTAGACAATAAGGAATGCGGAAAGCCAGTAACATCTTCTCCAGATCTGCGCATTGTAGGCGGGCACGAGGCTCAGAAAGGCCGCTGGCCTTGGCAGGTAAGTCACGTGTGAAATGGTCCTAGTTGTCGATGATAAATAATAAAATAATCATTTATATAGAGATTACTACGCAAAGGTCTTAATCCTTTTTCTCTAAAGTAATAGTTTTAAGTGTTCATTCGTTGTACCAAAAAAAAGTTTTCGTATCAACCCAGAATGAATTTTTGTACATTAAAAATAACAGAACAAAACTTCTATGTGGTTAACTTCAGTTTACTTTAAATTTATAAATACTGAAACCTAGAAGACGTCTTAAATTCACTGGATAGAGTAAACTCGGGTGTTTAGGAAACGTAATCCATGACTTCTTTGTCATTGTTAGGCCTATTTCAATGAATCTCTCAAAGAAAACGCAATTGCTAAACGGCCATTTTTCTTAAAGTTCTGAGTCTAGCGTGGTCCAGTGGGATGCGCCCAGAAGGTCCATGGTTCGAGCTACAATGCCCTTAAACACCCTCTGCATTTTCAGATGTGGTGTGTTATAAGAGTAACAGTAAGTTTTTCAATAGGTTCAAAGCCGGAATACTTGCGGCAGCAGATGCTTCTGATTGGCTGCCTCCCCTCTGGTCAATAGCTCGAAAACGGGGTCAGTCATACCTATACGATAGGATTTTCTGACCGGATCATTTACCCATGTAAGCATAAAGTGCTGTTAAGATTTAAAATACCCAAAATTTATTTTTTCTTTATTCCCAAAATACAGAAGCTAATTTCAAAGTCTACTTAAATCAATGTCATTCTGAAGTATAGTAATATCTTCTATTATTATTAGTAGAAGTAGAAATGCTGCCCAACGGGCGGCTTTTTATGTTCACAATTACTAATCGTAGTGTTCATACCTCACTAAAAAAATTTAGAAAAGTTAGCATCTTCTAAAAAAGGATTTTAGTGGGAAGTACTGCACGGAAAAGTGTTCGGATTGTGCTGATATAAATTGTAATGTTTTTATATATTAAGTGGTCTCCTTTATTGAAAAGAAATAACAGTTTTTTGATAAATCCATTTTTTAGTACTATACTTACAAATTAAATCAATAGAGATATAATCAAACGTACAATCTTAGTGAAAGTCACTGTTGTGATGAGAGTACTTTGATTTAAAATTGTGTTATGTGGTAAAGAAATGGTTGTTGCACATGCCATAGTTATTTTTCTAATTGTCTGAATCTTTAATATCCAAAGTGTGAATTTTATTTATGGACCTTTGTTTGTGGTGCCATTCAATAAATTTATTATTTCTGTCACATACATGGATAGATACACATATTCACCCTACGTCCATTATAGTAAGATTAGCTCTAAAACTCGAGACAAAAATGTGCGTATTTTTCAAAAGTTTGTCAGTAAACGCTACAAACTTGTTTTTGGTCTTTAAGACATTAAGTCAATGCACGGATATTGGCATGAATTGTTTTATTTATAACTCAACAAGATGTGGATGCTTAACGGGCAAGTATAATATTAAATTTTATGCAAAAAAAAAAAAAGATTCCAAAAAATCCAAATTTAAATCACCTTTTTCCCGTTGTTGTTTTTTAAGTATATGCTCAGGGGCACATGGGATGAGGTTACTTACAATACCAACAGATCTGATGATGGCAAAATTATATCAAGACGTCAGAACACTGTATTTTAACCGCATTCTTCCGAACTGCTGGCTGATTAAAGCACTTGCTTACGTTTGTAGAAGTAGAAAAAATATTTTAAAATTGTTAAATAATGCAAAATTGTCATGATTAATAAAAGTCGTATTCTAAACCAAAAAAAAACTACTGTTTATCAGTTTTCTACGTAAATCTTTAATTAAATAAATCTGTATGAACTTATGTATCGTCAGCTTAGGTGTATGTGTAATAACTTTGTACAACATCCATATTGAGTGTGTGTATAGCATTAAAAATTATACACTCCAAACAAATACAATAAGTAAAATATATTCGCTTATAAAACAATGCACATTAAGTATTTTCTCTAAAATGTAGTCACGTGCAAAGATGTTCATTTATTTATCACCAGGTGGCAGTGTTGAATCGGTTCATGGAGCCTTTCTGCGGAGGAACGCTGATTGCACCTCAATGGGTATTAACTGCAGCTCACTGTGTTAGAAGACGTTTGTACGTAAGAGCAGGAGAACATGATTTGCTGAACACCGAGGTTTCAGAACAAGAAGTCCGAGTTTCTGAATCTTTCGTGCACCCGAACTATGATGTAGAAACAGTAAATAATGATGTAGCTCTGCTGAGGCTTCGGCAGCCTTTAACGATGAACACCTACGTCCAGGCTGCGTGTTTGCCTAGTCCGGAAAACGAACTTCACGTGCAGACACTGGCTACTATTTTAGGCTGGGGTAAACAACGAAAGGCCGCCATATTTGGAACGGATGTTCTACATGAAGCACAGGTACCAATAGTAGATGTACAAGACTGTCGACAGGTGTATCAGGACTATTACATAAGCGATAACATGCTCTGTGCAGGCTACAAGAGAGGCCAGATAGACTCGTGCGCTGGCGATAGTGGCGGCCCCTTGCTGTACAAAGTAAATGAAAAATGGGAAATCCACGGTATCACTAGCTTCGGAGAGGGGTGTGGAAAAATGGGAAAATATGGGATTTATTCCAAAGTAGTAAACTTTGTAGAATGGATAAAAGAAATTATAGTTCTCAATTCCTGATATTTTGAAAGGTGAAATAATTTTAAAAACAGAATAAACTCTCTCAACGACACCTTGATTTCCAACAAATAGCTTGAAATTACCTTAAAGTATTCATATTATCAACTCGTAAACTACAGTGCTCAGGGATGTCGTTTATAGGTTTATTGTTATACACATATATATAGTATATTGGATGTTTTATACATTTTTACTCCATATAGTGTATGCCACCCAGTGGCACAGCGGTATGTCTGCGGACTTACAACGCTAGAAACCAGATTTCAATACCCGTGGTGGGCAGAGCACAGATAGCCTATTGTGTAGCTTTGTGCTTAACTTCAAACAACAACAACCATATAAAGTATAAAATAATATTCAAGAAATAAAGTATATGCAATTCTATACAATCATTGGTTTCTCTTACATGTGGTTCAAGCTGGGTTTTTTTTCTCCAATGTGTATTTTGAAAATTGCTTAATATTATTAAAAACTGGGGAACTACATGTCATCTCGCGTAATAATAAAAAGTAATGTAAAGTAGCCCCCAGTAGCACAGCGTTCACATCATATTAGTCGTTTGATCATTTGTTGAAAATGTACATTAATAGTTTAACGCCTTAAAATAATGTCTTATGGCGAGTATAATTGTAATCATGCTTCTCCAGCCTGTAAAAAAACGTTCACATCATATTAGTCGTTTGATCATTTGTTGAAAATGTACATTAATAGTTTAACGCCTTAAAATAATGTCTTATGGCAAGTATAATTGTAATCATGCTTCTCCAGCCTGTAAAAAACGTTCACATCATATTAGTCGTTTGATCATTTGTTGAAAATGTATATTAATAGTTTAACGCCTTAAAAAACTCGCAATTATTTTCATAAGTTGTAGAAAATTCGCATTTTAATATATATATTACTAAATTCAATGATTTATAATAAATGTACATTATTAGTTTAAAACCTTTTAGAAAAATAAAATTTTGCGTTAATGATTTGTAAAAAGTTCACAATGTTATTTTAACGACTTGTAGAAAGTGACGATTGTTTACATGACTTGTACCACATCTACATTAAATTATGGTTTATAGTTTATAAAAATTATTGGTTTGATCATTTGGGGAAAAAATGCTCATTGCAAACTGAATGATTTATAGGGAATTAACAATATCGGTATCACGATTTTAAAGAAAATTCATATTTTTCATTTAACGATTTGTGAATAAATGAACATTAGTAAGTTTAAAGATTTATGAAAATGCCTGTTTTTATTTTATCTACTTTTAGAAATGAAACATTTTTTTTTATTATTTTGATTTATAGAAAGTATCCATTTTTAATTTAGCAACTTATAGAAAATAAAGTTTTAATGACTTACAGAAAACTCACGCTGCTAAATAGCCAAATTAATTTAATGATTTGAAAAAGTATATAACTTGAATGAATCAAGAAAATCCTTTAATTTCAGTTCTCTTAAAGTAGTATTTCTTTTCTGTACCATACATAACATTCTTTAAACAACAAATAAACTGACATAATTATGCTTGACAAATATTTCCGCCCAGTATGGCCAGGTGGTTAAGGCGCTTGATTCGCAATCTGAGGGTCGCTGGTTCGAATCCCCGTCTCACCAAACATGCTCGCCCTTTCAGCCGTGGGAGCGTTATAATGTTGCAGTAAATCCCACTATTCGTTGGTAAAATAGTAGCCCAAGAGTTGACGGATGACTAGCTGCCTTCCCTCTAGTCTTTCACTGCTAAATTAGGGGCAGATAGCCATCGTGTAGCTTTGCGCGAAATTCAAAAACAAACAAACAAATGTCTTTATGGATGTTTTTATAAACAACTTGTTTCTTGTTTACATCACTACTTACAACGTTAAGAGTAAACATCAAATTGCTTAAATTTAAGATTAAAAAAAAAGAATGAACATTTTCTTTAACATTTAAGAACTATTTGATGCTAGTCCTAGGCATAAGAATTATAGATACCAGAACTAAAGAAAAATTAGTGACAACCTTATGTGTCAGACATCACTTTGTTGCAGTTAAGCCTACTTCTACTTCTAAGTATAAGAATTATAGATACCAGAACTAAAGTAAAGTTAATCATAATCTTATGTGTCAGACATCACTTTGTTGCAGTTATGCCTACTTCTAGATCGTTGCAAAGTGTTAATAACGAAGTAACGTATGCCACTGGGCCGAAGTGCTTTTTGGACTACTCAGCATGTCCTGCCAATGTTGCATCCCTTGTTCAGTTAAACAGTTGGCGCCCACCTGAGTTCGACCAATCAAGTGTTTTCCTCCAAATGCAGCCTTATCACATAAAGACACCACTAGATCGACGTCACTCAGCGCCGACTGAGGAAGTTGGATGTTGAAACTATCTGAAAATTCTACTTCTGGGATCTTCTTTTTCGGTGTTGTCTTCTTTGTTCGAACAAGTTTCTTCTTTAAGTACAGAGAGATTTTAACGTAGACAACTGTGAAAAAAGACTCGGAGTAATTATTACGCTCCCGAACACAGAAATTCTATAACATCCATACGATAAATACTTTAAGATAAACATATAATCTTTTAGTTATGCATATCAACGATAGGAACGTCAACTTATATTAGCTTATAAAACTTGTAGAAGGTTTACGAAGCATGGCAACGTTCTAACATATCTCTTCTGTTGTAATAATGTTACAGTTAATATTTTGACTTTCAACTATTGGTCATAAATAGTAATCTAATTTTATTTTCTCATCACCTAAACTATGAAACGAGAGGTCTAATCTATTTTTGGATTTTCCAACCGTCCCTGAGTTACGTTGGTTTAGGGAAATTCCGCTCTTTACAAAAGGAAATGAAATAATAAGACGACACTTCTTGTAATGGTGAACTATAGTTTATGTATATCGTGTTTGTGTTGTCGTCTGCTCACCACGAGTAACCTGTGTTTAAATGGTATATGAATAATAATAATATTAATACTGCTAATTTATTCTTATAAACACGTCAGTAGGTAAGTGGGATAATGTTATTTCTTTCAACGTCGCCAGACTGGGGAATTTCGGACATCTCAAACACCATACATATAGGCAATAAACGGTAATATATTATTATAAGCATTACGTAGACCACACGTTATCAGTTATTAAATTTTTCAAAACGGTTTTCTTTGAGACAGCTGAAGCCTTAATCAAATGACTTTCTAAGTGGGAAAGAGAAGTTTTTGAAATAATCTCTTCTGCGTTAAATTATCAAATAGCATATTTAGAAAACTCGCCTTATATAAACATTATAGGTCAACTTATGAATGCCTAGTAGTTTTCTAAATAATCTTAACTTATATAGTTAGCGCACAGAAATTGGATAATATTGTTCTTGAAGATATTTTCTTATATATATCGCAAGAATATGTAAAATATGTAATCCAACAGCCACATTACCGTGTCTACCTTTTATTTTTCAAACATAATTGGGTATATGGTATTTCTGCAGATAAAATATCAAAATAAGAAAGCTATTGTTATACTCTCCTACCTGTCCCTTTATCCTTATCTCCTGTAGGGATGTTCCTGATCTTCAGAACGGTAGACATTACCGTGTCTACCTTTTATTTTTCAAACATAATTGGGTATATGGTATTTCTGCAGATAAAATATCAAAATAAGAAAGCTATTGTTATACTCTCCTACCTGTCCCTTTATCCTTATCTCCTGTAGGGATGTTCCTGATCTTCAGAACCTCGATGGTCAGTACAGCACTGTCGGGGTTGTAGCAGAGAGAAAACAGAAGTTCCCCGTGCTCGTGGACCCGCTGTTGGTCAAGAGTAGTTTAGTTAGGTCTGTAGTATATAACATTTCCAAGCCGTACTGGAAAGAGTAGTTTAGTTGGGTCTGTATTATATAACATGTACAAGCTTTACTGGAAAGAGTAGTTTAGTAGGGTCTGTATTATATAACATTTACAAGCCTTACTGGAAAGAGTAGTTTAGTTGGGTCTGTATTATATAACATTTACAAGCCTTACTGGAAAGAGTAGTTTAGTTGGGTCTGTATTATATAACATTTACAAGCCTTACTGGAAAGAGTAGTTTAGTTGGGTCTGTATTATATAACATTTACAAGCCTTACTGGAAAGAGTAGTTTAGTTAGGTTTGTATTATATAACATTTACAAACCTTACTGGAAAGAGTAGTTTAGTTAGGTTTGTATTATATAACATTTACAAGTCTTGCTGGAAAGAGTAGTTTAGTTAGGTTTGTATTATACAACATTTACAAGCCTTACTGGAAAGAGTAGTTTAGTTAGATCTGTATTATATAACATTTACAAGCCTTACTGGAAAGAGTAGTTTAGTTACGCGTTACTGGGGAGAAATTATTTTTCATGAACTCTAGAATCACTTGTGATTCATGTAATATGATTTATACATTATCTTGTTTTTCGTTCTAAACAACTATATCGTGGAGAAACAGAAAACCTACGTTTAAAAATTAATTTACACAGATATCATATTAAAATGCAAATAATTACCCCTTGCCTGTTGACAAAAACATTCACAGATGTATTATGAAAAAAATTCATATTTCACAAGAACCTTTTTTTGAAATACTCCCATCTTGGAATTGTAGAGAAAAAAATAAGATATTATTTTATAAAAGTTTTTAATAATTTTAAAACCACATTAAATTTTATGTTGTTTACTGCTTAGAGGGCGTTTACAATATACACATATCTCAGATATATATATATTGTGAACCCTGGTGTCTTTCCGAGCGTTCATCTGTTTCCCGTTTGAAAAGCTGCGCACGCAGGCAAAGCTCAACATTCACTTTTGAAATGACGGGAGAACAGGCATGAATAATTTTGTTGCCAAATTTTATTTCGCAAACAGGATATTCTACACTAACCTGTTAGGAAATAATCACAGTATCATTCACATTTCAAAATGTGACGTAACTTAAAACTAAAAAATGTAGATTTACCGTATGTTATTGTTGAACGGCTCTTAGCATGACTTAAATGCTTAACAATTACTTTTCGCGGTGGGTGGTATAAATAGCTTAGAGCTTTGGCTCTGAGTACAACACAATTAACCTTTTTAAAGTCCATAAAATAATTTAAATTGATAGATTAACTTAAACTTTTCCTGTCACTGTGGACGGGTACTTTTGCTTGTGTGTGTATATACACATATATAAACTAAAGTAAAAAAAAATGCTGGAAATTTTGCCATTCTTATGCAGGTTTGTAAAAAGTGTTTTGTTACGGAAACTTTGGAGTACCCTTGGAAAAATTAAATTTATACTTGCAATTTATATATATAAGATTTATTTTGAATATATATATATTCTACTTTTACTTAATCGTATTTAATATAGTTAATTCTGTCAAACTGTCGTCTTCTCAGTAGACATTTCATTTGACAGAAAATTTATATCTCATGAAATATGGTAAATCCATTTCGCACGTTTGTATTATATAGATGTTTTTATTCATTATTTTGATTGTATTTGTTGAAGGTTAAGAACTATCTTAATTTGTTCTAATTTTATCAGTGCTTTTTTCAGCTAATTCTTGGGAAAAGCGAAACATTACAAACAGCTTGTTATAATCGTTTTCTTGAATGGAAGATGTACTTATGAATAGTCATGATTTTTTACAGACATGCCATGCCTTATATTTATTTACTAATTAAACAAGTTAAAAGAGTTCTGAAACGTTATACTGTACTTGTATGTGTGTGTGTGGAGGGGGGGATATTTATAAATACATGTACGTGATGTACTAATGATAATGCCCACAATTTGCATAGTCTTTCATAATTTTTATTTTATTGGTTTTATATAGCTTAATAGTTATTCGTTAGAATTAATTATTAAATAAAAATAAAACTTATACTAGATTTACCTAGAGACTCTACAAAATGGATAAAGATAGATTTAGAATATACGTTAAAATATAGAGATAAATAGAGATATATAAACTCGTGTTGAACAAAAATATCATTTTTTTGGTAATATATTTTTACCTTCCTTGCATTAATTTATCCATTAGAATTATAAAAAAAGGAAATACCTTTAAGTTATAACAACTAGTTTTGACCAGTATTCTAGCGATTTATCCTTTTCCAACGTATTCAAGTGCATTAATATCGATGTTACAACTGTGACTATGAGCTTCTGATCCTTCGAACACACAGATAATTATATGATTACATCTGTCACACTAGAGTATATACTAAATGAGTTACAATAAAAATTATTTGTATTTATTAAAAGTAGAAACAGATAGGTTTCCTGATTTTTGTTTTTAGGTCAAATGTACTATCAAATCTCAGGAAATAGTGTTTAATACTGCTTCTCGTATAATTTTTCTTCAATGACACTTTAGTCATTTTATTTGGAATTTTAGCAAAGAGAAAAACAGTGGTTTTATCACGAAATCTGGTTATCATAACTTTCACAATACGAAAATAATTGTTTTAAACCATTTCTGATAAGACATTTTCACACTCACTACACACGAAACCTTTATAAATTTATGGTTCATATTTCCATTACAAAAACGAACATCAAAAGCAGACTATAATGTTTACTAGTTTAAAGACAAAACAGAACTAATACGATCTGTAAGTTGTGAAAGACACTGCGGGAATGTAAGACTTAAAACCTTATATGCATAAGAGATGGTTGTAAGAAAAGTAACTGGTTGCAATAGCTCATAAATAAAACAGAACATAATTCGAGCACACATAAAGCAGTACTTGTTGCAAGTATACATAAAACAGCACTTGATCCAAGAACACACAAAGCAGTACTAGATCCAAGTATACAGAATGTAGTAGTTGATCAATGTATACACAGAGAAGCACTGATCCAAGTATACAGAAAGTAGCACTTGATCCACGTGTACACAAAATAGCACTTGATCCAAGAACACACAAAGCAGCACTAGATCCAAGTGCACACAAAGCAGCACTTGATCCAATTATACGCATCGGTATTAATACGACAGAAAAACATTTTAAGAGCACTTAGGAACAGGCTATCACTAATCACGGTAGTGCTTAGCATGTATTGATGGGCCGAGAAAATAATGGCTGCCACATTTGATCTCTCCACAAAAATACGTATGGTAGAAGAACAGAATAATATCCTGTTATATAAGCAGTGAAACACTTGATAATAGCAATTATGTGCTCAAATAAGGCTATAAACATCATAGAGCAATAGCTACTATTTAGCAGTGAGTTCAATTTATAAGCATATATTACTTCCATGTTTTATAAATAACAGTTTCATTTCTTGTCGCTAAATGGCAACACAAATTGTTCTTGTATAACAACCGTTTGTGACTTTTCATTCACAAACATAATATCTGCCAAAATAATTTAAGTAAAAATAAGTAAATAAATAAAGCATAATCTAAATTAATATTCAAGGTATCAAAGGAGATCATGTATTTTTGCAACTGGCAGATCTGTGTACATGTTATTGATGTATGATTTTAAAAACACAAGTTTCTTAATTAACAAA